AACGGAAAATTATGTGTACAATAACTTTCACAACTCTTTCTTGTCCTTGACTTAATAATGTTCAAGGTCCTGAAAGAAACCACCAGGGTCCTTCAGAACCACCCATCCTAAGATGCAAACATCCAACAAGAAGTTTATGGGCCTCCATCCTCAAGACAGGATTCCTTTGTGCAACTGGACAATACAACATCACCATCTAATCCTGACATTTGGTAACAATGCCTTTATTTTTATTTATTTATTTTTGAGACAGAGTCTCACTCTGTTGCCCAGGCTAGAGTGCCATGGTGTCAGCCTAGCTCACAGCAACCTCAAACTCCTGGACTCAAGCGATCCTCCTGCCTCAGCCTCCCGAGTGGCTGGGACTATAGACATGCGCCACCATGCCCAGCTAATTTTTTCTATATATTTTTAGTTTTCCAATTAATTTCTTTCTATTTTTAGTAGAGATGGGGTCTCGCTCTTGCTCAGCCTGGTCTCAAACTCCTGAGCTCAGAGGATCCTCCTGCCTTGGCCTCCCAGAGTGCTAGGATTACAGGCTTGAGCCAACAATGCCTTTAGATGGTAATTATGTGAGGTTTTGTCAACATAAAAAGGTTAGTTTAAAGACCCTACCTACTGATTTGGGGATTAAAGGTCACTTGCAAAAATCTACAAACCAAAGTGAAAACTATTATTTAGCAATATTGGGACAACACAGTTATTTCTTGTTTTTATTTTCAACTGAGATGGTTGCTAACTATAGGGTATATTTTGGATTTGTAGAAATACAACAAACATGATAAAGTATCAAAACCATAGCCAAAGTTATGCAGCTGACTAATAGAAAGGCCCAATATATAGTCCAACTTGATTTCAGTATACCAGGCATTAAATGCCTCTAAGGAAGGCAATTCAAAATGAAGAGAATGTGACCTTATGTGTAATGCCCTCAAGACAGTGTTCAGCTGGGTGAGGCACTAATCCCAGTATCAGCAAAGGACTTCTTTCAGCTTCTTCCAGTCTCATGTGGATTTTTTTGACATTCCAAAGATGTCATGGGACAGGTTTAACAAGAAATTGTTAATATCATCCCTATTCAATAAACTTGAAATTACTAAGAAAGACTGTCTTTCTTTATTTACACGTTGTACAAAATTACTAATAGTTGCAGTCATGTTAGAAGAGTAATAAAAGGTGCTGATCAACATTTTATATATTTCCTATTGAAACCCAGTCAGAGGTTCACAGGCACAACATTATCCATACAGAAGCACAGTTTATAGCATGTTCATGTGGCATGTTCATGTGACCCATATCAGAATTAAAATATAAGCAGTGAGGCGATGACTACTCAGCATCAAGGTGGTTATAAAACATGTACATTACCATCTAGATAACTATGAGGGTACCAATACTCTTTATTTGTACCAAATAGCTTAATTTGGCAAAAGATTCCCTTAAATATCTCTAAGCAAACATAAATAATGTTCTAAGCTCTAAGATTTTTCATATAAAATTAAATTTATGAAGAAGAGCTTTCAAAAAAAAATTTATTATTGGCCTTCTAGACTTCATTTTCAATTGTGCTACAATGTTCCTCCAAATGGAGGCAACTTGATGAGACTTTAGCCTTTTACTTTATATTTTGCTTTCCAGACAGAGTGAAAGATTAGAAGAAATTTTCACAAGAGTCCTCGAGACAAGTTACCACTAGTTATGCTAACGTCCAGCGAGGATGAACGTAGCTCTTTACTGGAGCAGCCCGTATCTCATGACACTGATTCACAGAAGCCTGATTTTCTTGATTTCTCTCTCTAGGTTCAAAAGCCTCTGAAATCATCAACTAGCTCAGCAAAGCATATTATCAACATTCCTGCATCTAGAAAGCAGAGATTGGAATGCTGGGCACATAACCATCAATAAGGAATCCTAGGTAAGCAAAGAAAGGGTAACCAGCAGAGAACACAAGCTGAGGGAATCAAAGTGCTACCATGTCGAAGGCGACATCTGTAAAAGACAGTAAAGCCCTACAGAAAGAGTAATCCAGACAACTAAAATGGCTCTCATTAGCTTCTAGCATTCACGCAGATGCGGGGCAGGAGAAGGGCGAGGAAGAGGGAAGGGAGAGTGGCTGACCACTGTCAAAGAAGGAAAGAGGAAGACACGTCTGGCATTCAGTAATATTAGACCTGAAAGGTGCATCATCTGAGCTTTACCCATGTTCCATAAATCATTGCTAGCTGGCCCTGAGCTTCATCATATCAATTAACTTCTTGATTTCCAAATCTCTAAGATGAAGTGAAAACTAATATTTCAAAAGAAATTAATGATAGGAAAGCCTACAGATCCTATTAAGTGTACTGAGTCTCTCTTTTTTTTTTTAAAAAAAAAAAAAACCAAACATGATGACACCAAAATAAAAGAAAGGACAAATCCAGCTTTTTGGTTTGCATCTTCAACTGTCCTCCTCCTCCTCCTCTTTCCTATTCACACAAACCCAAACCCTGAAACAGCTCTTTTCTCCAAAGAGCTCAGCCTGTCATAAAGAAAGTTTGGGTACTATCCGTGCAGGTAAGAAGTAATCAGGATACAAGGTGGGGGAGGAGGGGGAGAACAGCAGCAAGTCAGAGTCCCATTGGCTTCTGCCTGTCCTGACTGGCAAAAGCAGAAAGCAAAGCCTCAAACCAGTTCTCTGACAGGGCCCGACGCCTCTGCAGCACCCCCCGTGTAATTACACACTTGAGTGACTGGACTCTGAAGAAAATTGAAGGCCTGAGCTCCGAACAGCTGCCATTTTCTCTCTCCATCACACCAGCGTGATTACTTGAGAAATGAACAGCCCCGGCTCAAAGCTACTCCAGAATTCTCAGAGGAAATATGGCTCCGTGTTCCAATAATGAGATTCTTAAGGCAAGCGTTACTTACAATCACTCCGCAAAAGGAGCGAGCCGAGCCCCTATATCTTACAAATTAGAATTTAAGAAACCCAGCGACAGTCTTGGACGATCATTACTCTTCTGCTGCTCCAAGGATTCTGGGCTTTGGTCTATTTTTAGTGCAGAAAACTGTTAAGTTCTTAAAAAGGTAATCATAATAAGATGAAAAACTCACCATAATTAGCTTCTTACACAGCCAAATTCCACCCATTTTAGGTCCAGACTGACAGATTCTTCCATCCCCCTCATCACTACCTTTTTCTGTCACAAAGTCGTGGCTTTATCCAAATGAGAATTAACAATTCTTTCATTAAAATAAGAAAAAGAAATCTAAATAGTCTGAGATTTCTTCCCTCTCCTGACTGAGAAAAAAAATTTAGCAAGTTGCCATAGATTGTATCATTTCTTTGGTGAAACCTGTCACTTGGGGAAGTTGAAACATTACATAGGGCTGATTATTTTTTATTTTCCCTCTCAAATGCATCTTCTGCTTTCCCTACCACCCAGCCATTCTAGGGTAGCAAACATAAAGAACTCTTCCTGTAAAGAACTCTTCCTGTAATTACCTATTTGAAAAGGTTATTCTTTTTATTTATAAAGGCTATTCTTAAAAATGTTACATCCTTTATTTATTTATTTAGAGACAGAGTCTCACTCTGTTGCCCTGGCTAAAGTGCCATGGCGTCAGCCTAGCTCACAGCAACCTCAAACTCCTGGGCTCAAGCAATCCTTCTGCCTCAGCCTCCCAAGTAGCTGGGACTACAGGCAGGCGCCACCATGCCCAGTTAATTTTTTCTATACGTTTTTAGTTTGCCAATTAATTTCTTTCTATTTTTAGTAGAGACGGGGTCTTGCTCTTGCTCAGGCTGGTTTCATTTTGAACTCCTGATCTTGAGCGATCCACCTGCCTCGCTCCCCAGAGTGCTAGGATTACAGGCGTGAGCCACTGCGCCTAGCCCTAAAAATGTTACATCCTTTAGAGTAAACCAGCTGGTAGATAACTGAATGAGTGGCACTGTTGTTAACCAGAGATATGAAGGTGATAGTTTCCCTTCATTCTGATTGAAATAAAAAATAGCCATGAAGATTTATGATTTTTTTTTTCTCTAAGAAGAAATGATAGAATTAAGGTACCAAGAATGCTGATTCCACAAAGGGACAAGGAAGAAAACTCAGAAGTGAAAAGGCACTATAGTCCCCCCAAAAGATGAACATGAAGCAGCAAGGCAATTGCTCAGGACCATGGGGGTGAAGAATACTAAGAATAGCCCTACTGTTCTGATTCCTAGAATTAACTCAACCAGAAAGATCTAGAAGTGAAGAACTTTCAAATCATCTTTAAAAATCCTTAAGTCCACAAAAATTCTACGCACTGGTCAAATATATATTAGTCCTATTCGCATTGACCAGTCTTACCCCTCATCCCTACTTTCTACTAATTCTTATATTACTAGGTTATGTGGATAAAATCATATATCTTTTATCAATACAATAATCTTAGCTTAGATTTTCATGTATTAATACATAAAACTAAAAGGGACTAAAGAAGATGCAGAATAAATTTAAGTTTCTTTGGTAGGGGAGGGGTTGTGCTGCATTTCTAATAGTTTTGTTTTGTTTTTTGACATGAGAGGTCTTGCTGACATTTACGGTACCAACAAGAGTTAAAATGAAAGTATACTTATTATATTAGCTAGATAAGATTAAACTTTAAAGCTGCTGTCATGATGACAACAGGAATGTGAAGCATGGGGAATTTCTAAATACGACCAAAGGATTTGAGTTCCTGTGCATGACTATACGTGTAATAGCCAGTACAGTCCTTTCCTAACTAGAGCAGTTCTTTCAGATCAATGACAAAGGTATATATAAGAAATTGTTAATCCACGAGCCAAGCCCCACTCATCCCATAATTGTAAGAGACAGTAGCTTTTTCTCTGACCATAGCCATCAGAAGGAAAAAAATACTTTTTGCATATCATCAACCATCCTTACAGGTTCTGAAAAGAGATACTCACAATAAGCATTGTGACCAGAAGATTCTTCTTGGTGACTTGAGCGTGAGAGAAGATGTAGTTCAGTACAGTGTTCATGTCACTTTTGTTCTCTTCCCGAAGGGCGAACACACATTTGTCATAGTGACCTGCAAGCAGCAAAAGGAACTCGTCTTCACCCTGTATGTATGTTCACATTTACATGCTATTTGTTTTTTTAATGCCTATAATTCACCTGATGAGCAGTGAGAAGAAATATCTTAATATTCTTGGATGAATTTGTACAGCACTGGAGTGTGATTTAATAAAAGGAATACTGGACCAGAGTCAGGCAATTTAGATAAAAGACCTGGGGGCTCAAGGCCTAGTTCTGTTACCAATTTACTATGTGTTCCAGGGCAAATCATTTTACCTCTCCAGGTCTCGATTTCACTACATTAAAAAAAATGGGGGCAGGGTGGGGAATATGCCTTAAATGCTGAGAGGTTGGGAATAACTCCAACCCTACTCTTACTCTAAATTCTCTCATTTAGCTTCTTGGAATGATTTCCTTAGAAAAGAGGGTTCTGTTGCTTAAAAAAAAAGCCAATACCATTAAACTTAATGATCTTTAAGGTCTAACCCAGAGCTTAAAATTCTGGTTCCATGTTTGATTCACTGAAAATGTTTCACCCTACCTGGTAGGTAGAGTTGTAGCTCAAAAAGATAAAACCACACCAAACTTATCAATATCCATAAGAAGTGTGGCTTCTACCTCTGGAATCAACATTTTCCCCTAAGTCCTTGAAACAGCTAAGCAATACCTAGAAATTCCAAATCCAAACCAAAGTATAGATCAAGGAGAATCCTGCACTAAGTCAAAAAGTCTGTAGGGAGACTAAAGTTATGCATATTTTCATTGGCTTTCCATAAGGCCACCAGCAGCAAGTTAGTTCCAAGTAGGAAACCTATGTTTTACAAAAGAAGCATAAGCCTCAGGTATACTGTAGTGATATCTACCATGGGATAGAAGTAATATTCAGTTCTTTAGAAAATAGCTTACATCAGAATTAAATTTTCAAGAGGAATTAGTGTTTGAATATTCTCAAGGGTCAGAATTTTATGAAATCATGAAAATAGTAAAGGATTATCACCTCATTCAGATTCCATGTTAAGCTACAAACCAGAACAGTGGCATTCAAACTGCATTATCATGGTTTCCTAGAATACAGAGTACATTCAACCAGGGCCAATTCTGCTTTTATCTATTTTAAATATTAGAGATTGACATAAGCATTTTTTTCAAAATGAAACTAAAATACATTTGAAAGACAGTGGACTATAATATCTAGCTCTCTAGCTGCCAATTTCATAAAAGACCATATAAACCAAAATAGAAGCTGTTTAAAAGTTGGTTATCCTATATAAATTCATATTTTTCCCTACCAAGACGTACTTTTGAAATGACAACAGAAATACACTTTGGCAGTAGGAATTATTGGGACCAGGGGAAAAAGAAAGAATACATTTACCTGGGGAGAGGGGAGACACTAACAGAAAGAAAGCAATGATACCAAATGTTCCCTTTTTTAAGACTTTTAATGGTGAAATATATATACAGAAGAATCTATTAAATACATACTAACAATTGAAATAAACAGCTATGAGCTATTTTAAAGCTACTGAATTTTCAGAACATCCTTAGTATCTTTGAAGACCCTTATGTGCTCCTCCTCAGAAACAGCTACTAAGCTTAATCTTATGTTCATCATTCTTTTGCTTTCCTTTACATTTACCACCAATGTATGTATACTTTAACTTTCCAGTTTTTGAACCTGATAAAAATGGAATCACTGCAGCATTCCTTTCCCTCAATATTATGTTTCTGAGATTCATCCTTTTGTTTATGTGTGTACCCTGGTTCATCCTTTTTCCCTGCTATATAGTAAACCACTGTAGGAATATATTAGAATTCAATGATCTCTTCTACTTGTGTACATTTAGATTGTTTCCTGTCTTTTTTGCAAGTATGATAGTCCTATGTATGTTTCCTAATAAACAAGTAAGAGTTTATCTAGAGTATATTATCTAGGAATGAAATTACTAGGTTGAAGAATATAAATAAGTTCAATGTTATTAGGTACTAACAAACCATTCTCCAAAGTGGTATGTCAATTTGCAATTCCACTTACAGAAACAGTAAAGATGATGTGACTTTTAAATGTTTGCAAATCTCACTTGGTTTTTGTTCACATTTCTGTAATTACTAATGGGACTGAGCATATTTTTTAAGTTTATAGATTATTTATGCTTCTCTTCTGTGAAATATCTTTTGCCCATTTTTCTAATAGGATGTTTTTTCACTGGTTGACTGATAGCAATTCTCTAGACACTAATCCATTTGTTAGGGGTATAGTTTGTAAGTATCCTCTCCCACTTTGTGGCTTATATTTTCAGTCTCTCATGGTATATTTTGATGAACAGAAGTTCTTAAGTTGGCCGGGCGCTGTGGCTCACGCCTGTAATCCTAGCTCTTGGGAGGCCGAGGCGGGCGGATTGCTCAAGGTCAGGAGTTCAAAACCAGCCTGAGCAAGAGCGAGACCCCGTCTCTACTATAAATAGAAAGAAATTAATTGGCCAACTGATATATATATATAAAAAATTAGCCGGGCATGGTGGCGCATGCCTGTAGTCCCAGCTACCCGGGAGGCTGAGGCAGAAGGATCACTCGAGCCCAGGAGTTTGAGGTTGCTGTGAGCTAGGACGCCACGGCACTCACTCTAGCCTGGACAACAAAGCGAGACTCTGTCTCAAAAAAAAAAAAAAAAGAAGTTCTTAAGTGGAGTTGCATTAATCAACCTTTTCCTTTCTAGTTTGCACTTACTGTGTCTTGTGCAAAAAATCTTCCCTACCCTGAGGTCATAAGGATATTCTCCTAAAAACTTAAGAGTTTTGCTTCTTTAGTATATATGCTAGTCTTTAAGGTATAAAGTAGGGATCCAATTTCTTTTTTTTTTCTTTTCTTCCTCTTTCCTTTCTCTTCTCTTCTTCTTTTCTGTCTCTCCCACCACCACCACCAATTCTTTTGACATGGTCTTGATGTGTCACCAAGGCTGGGAGTTCAGTGGCACAATCACAGTTCAATAGTGTAACTTTGAACTCCAGCGTTCAAGCAATACTCCTGCCTCAGCCTCCCAAGTAGCTGGAACTACAGACAAGCACCACGATGCCAGGCTAAATTTTTAATTTTTTTTTTTTTTTTTTGAGACAGAGTCTAGCTTTGTTGCCCAGGCCAGAGTGAGTGCCATGGCATCAGCCTAACTTACAGCAACCTCAATCTCCTGGGCTCAAGCAATCCTTCTGCCTCAGCCTCCCGAATAGCTGGGACTACAGGCATGCGCCACCATGCCTGGCTAATTTTTTCTATATACATTAGTTGGCCAATTAATTTATTTCTATTTATAGTAGAGACGGGGTCTTGCTCTTGCTCAGGCTGGTTATGAACTCCTGACCTAGAGCAATCTGCTCGCCTCGGCCTCCCAGAGTGCTAGGATTACAGGTGTGAGCCACCGTGCCCGGCCCCTAAATTTTTAATTTTTTGTAGAGATGAGGGCTTGCTATGTTGCCCAGGCAGGTCTTGAAGTCCTGGCCTACAATGATCCTCTCACCTTGGCACCCCAAAGCACTGGGATTACAGGCATGAACCATCATACCCAGCCTTCTCCCCACTCCCCACCCTTGTTTTTTGGTTTTACAAATGAATAATCCATTGTTCTAATATTGAAAAATATCTATCCTTTCCTCATGATCTGCAATGCCTGCTCTATCATAAAATACGTCTTCATATGGATAGATCTGTTTCTGGGCTATTAAGTTCCATTGGTCTACAAATCTGTCCCTACCCCAATATCACAATTTCTTAATTAATATGGCTTTCTATTGAATCTTGATATCTGACTGGGCAAATCTTTTCACCTTCTATTTATTTAGGAGTATCTTGGTTATTATCAGACTTTTATGTAAATTTTAGAATTAGCTTGACAAATTCCACAAAAATACTAGAATTTTTTTTTTTTTTTTTTTTGAGACAGAGTCTCGTTTTTGTTGCCCAGGCTATAGTGCCATGGCGTCAGCCTAGCTCATAGCAACCTCAAACTCCTGGACTCAAGCGATCCTCCTGCCTCAGCCTCCCGAGTAGCTGGCACTACAGGCATGTGCCACCATGCCTGGCTAATTTCTTTTATATATATTAGTTGGCCTATTAATTTCTTTCTATTTATAGTAGAGAGGGGGTTTCGCTTTTGTTCAGGCTGGTTTCGAACTCCTGACCTCGAGCAATCTGCCCGCCTCAGCCTCCCAGAGTGCTAAGATTATAGGCGTGAGCCACCACGCCCAGCCTCTAATAGAATTTTTATTGGAATGTCAATGAATCTACAGATGAATTTAGGGAGAATCAACAGCTTTGTAATAGTGAACAAAGTCTATCTGGAAAGTATCCAGCCACATAATATGAAAAATACAGACATTTATTGAAGTAGATACAAGAAACATCATACATGGGACAATGACACCTCATTCTCCTTCAAAGTGGGCATCTTAGGACCTCACATAGTTCTCCCAGCATCTCTTAACCTAACCCATACACATTCAACATTCTCAGGTGTTTTGCTTAATTGCAGGCCTTTCAGAACGTGGATCCCTTTCAACAGATTGTCAACCATCTTTGAAGAGTTTGTGCCACACTTTTATTTGCCCTGCACTCATTGCATCATCCCTGAAAGCTTTCTGAATCATCTGAATAATTTCCATGGAGGAATGTTCAAGCTTAATGCAAAATTTGATGCACATTCGTTGCTCTACTTGCTCGGTCATTTTGAATGCGACGGCCACACAGTACACACACTCACTCTAGTGCCCCACTGATTAGCACAGAGAAGTCATCGTTGTTCACACATGCACATTCCAGTCCACTCTCCTTGGCTACCGGTTTACACTGATGTCGTGCAAACCATTCTCGTTATGTTAATAATGGCTGGATACTTTCCGGATAACTTGTGTATATTCCAATTTAAGACCTTGATATTTACTTAGATCTTCTTCGCTGATTATAATTTTCTCCAAAAGAAACTTGCACACATTTTTGTTAGATTTACTCCTTACTATTTCATCTTTTTAGTTGCTATTTTAATGGCATATTTTTCTA